ACGCCCGGCATTTTAACTCGGGCAATGCTTCAGTGAGCTACGACCAAACGACGACAAACGACACCATCGGCACATCTCTCGTCGACAAAGGGTAGGGGGAGCGGCGGGAGTGGAGTGGAGGGTTCATCAACACTATAGGCAAGGACTTCACCCAGAGACCACGCCCTCCAGAGCAGTGACCCAGTGGGACGTCAATCGAAGCCCGTTTGGTCGGCCAGCGGGCGGCACCGGGCGGAGTTGTGAGTGAGAGTTGTGACTCATTGCGGAGTTGTGAAGGCTATGAGAGTTGTGATTCATCGAGCGTGGCAGCCTCGGACGCGGACCGCCGGCCCACTGACCTAGGATCAGGAAGTCTTCGGTCCGCTGGCCACCGGTGGCCCGGCTGTGGTCGGTGTAGACGCGCAGGCTCTCGCGCACCAGCGTGCGGATCCACACGCAGATGTTCGTCGCCACCACGTGCATCAGGCCGCAGCGCGCCACCACCTTAAACTTGTGGATGTTCAGCTGCAACGGCCGGGGCGGGTTAGCGCGCGGGCTGCGCTAGGGACACAGAGGGAGAAGCAGTGGTGCAATCAAATCAGTCAAGAGTCAGAGCCGGATAGGGCTACATCATGTCCGGGTCAGAACGAAGGACTGTGGCACACCCGGGATAGAGAAAGGCCGCACAAAACGCGGATGAGACCCAGTGTCGGGAATTTCCGACGTGCTCTGGCTGGGTGGATGATGCTGGCGCCCAGATGACGCCTAACACCGTGACTCTTGTCCGGTTAACCCCGAGCTCTTGGGACGCGGAGGAACGGCAACCTCACTGCTCGCAAACAGCACGCAATTACGAAATATGCTGATATCGAGAAAGAGACATATTAAAAATAGATTTGATATTTTATACCTTTTCCAGCTGAACTTTATTGAAAACCACAGATGTTCGCGCAATCACTGAACGCATTTAATGAAACTCGCCATTCTAATTTAATGAAAGGCGTACACAAGAGTGCATTTCGGCTTTCGCCTTCAGTTAATACATTCATTTGTCCTTTTGCTATGTAATCCAGATCGCAAACCTAACACAGCATGGTAAGTAATATAGCACACAAACAGCTTGCGCACGCATCGACAAATGCAGCTAACACCTCCCTGCTTTCCGCACAAAACTACCCTTATTATCATCATAGCCCAGGTTGGCGTCTATCCTGTGGCGCGCGGGCCGCCTCCCCTCCCTCTGATGCGATTACGGCTGACCACGGGAGAGGGGTGTCAACCGCTCATCTGTGACCTGAGCGCACGCAGACCTCCCCAGACCCCTCCCCCCGTGGACGGGTGGCTGATCAGCGTTCACCGCCACCCCACCGCGCGCCGGCCCGGCAGCAGCACACGTGGTGGCATGGGCGGGCGACGCGCGACCACATAGCTAGTGAGCCGCGCGGCGGGCGCGGACACTGGCGCCGGCGCACCGCGTGCTGCCGCCTGTGTGTCTCTGACAGTTACGATGCCACGCACGCACTCCCACTCGAAGCATCGAAACTAAAGGCTGAAGCTGACGGTGTGGGAGTGGACGCTCGATACCTCACACCGCGAGGTGTGGGAGTGGACGCTCGGTACCCGACACCGCGAGGTGTGGGAGTGGACGCTCGGTGCCTCACACCGCGAGGTGTGGGAGTGGACGCTCGATACCTCACATCGCGGGGTGTGGGAGTGGACGCTCGGTGCCTCACACCGTGAGGTGTGGGAGTGGACGCTCGATACCTCACACCGCGAGGTGTGGGAGTGGACGCTCGGTACCTCACATCGCGAGGTGTGGGAGTGGACGCTCGGTACCTCACACCGCGAGGTGTGGGAGTGGACGCTCGGTGCCTCACACCGCGGGGTGTGGGAGTGAACGCTCGGTGCCTCACACCGCGAGGTGTGGGAGTGGACGCTCGATACCTCACATCGCGGGGTTTGGGAGTGGACGCTCGGTACCTCACACCGCGAGGTGTGGGAGTGGACGCTCGGTGCCTCACACCGCGGGGTTTGGGAGTGGACGCTCGGTGCCTCACACCGCGAGGTGTGGGAGTGGACGCTCGGTGCCTCAAACCGCGAGGTGTGGGAGTGGACGCTCGGTACCTCACATCGCGGGGTGTGGGAGTGGACGCTCGATACATCACACCGCGAGGCGTGGGAGTGGACGCTCGGTACCTCACACCGCGAGGTGTGGGAGTGGACGCTCGGTGCCTCACACCGCGGGGTGTGGGAGTGGACGCTCGGTGCCTCACATCGCGAGGTGTGGGAGTGGACGCTCGGTACATCACACCGCGAGGTGTGGGAGTGGACGCTCGGTACCTCACACCGCGAGGTGTGGGAGTGGACGCTCGGTGCCTCACACCGCGAGCCTGTGATGAGCGACCAGCGCAGCCGCACGCAGGGACAGAGCACCGACGCCAGCAAAGTCGCTGTCGCGGTTCACTAACTATGGGAGACTAATAGTCCCATGACCCCCAGCCTGGGAGGCCATCAAAGACTTCCCCCATCGCCAGGAAACTCTCCTATCAAGCACCGGGAGTGCTGGACTCCCGCTGGAGAGGCCACCGCCGTGACGCGCGCGGTGCTCACCCTGGAGTTCATGAAGATGAAGTACATCTGCATAAATGTGAAGGCGGCCTGAAGACACGGGTTGACGGCCATCAAGATCTGCCAGCAGTCCGAGTCCTGCGGGATCTCGAAGAACGAGCCCAGCTCCAAGCCGTTGTACACCATCGTGCCCAGGCCGAAAGCTGCAGAACAAAGGCGATGATAACAACCAGACGAGCAGCGTCTGGCGGTGCGGTGCGGCGAGGCGTGAGCGCGGCGACGGGTGGGGACGGAGCACAGAGCGTCCAGCTCCTCTAGACATAAGCTCAGAGGCCAATGGTGGGAGCTGATTACCACATGTGAACTCATCCAATGGGCCAGCTTGGCCCACTGATCGGCCTAATGGTTCGGCCAGGTCCACTGGCCCACCCCATGTTCCGACCTGGCCCGGTGACCCATCCTTTAGTGCAGTCTGGTCCACTGGCCCACACCCAGTCATGAACAGATCCAAAGACACATTGTTCGGTTGTGCAACACAGAGTCCTGCCTACTAGCCCAAGGCCATTATCCCACGATGTGGTGCTTGGAGAGCCACCTCACTGCTTACAATGCGACCCAGCAGGCAGTGAGATACACCCCATCAGCGACCCCCATCCTTTGCTTCGTCTACCGTGAGCCCGTATAAAATCCGCCACAGCCAGAACCACTGGCCCACGCAGCTCCACGGATCCACAGGGAACACACAGGGGGGGCCGTCGGCCCGTGCGATGTGCGATCTGACCCACCGTGTGAGCATCTACTGACCGATGGCGCCGATGCGGAGGAAGAAGCCGCCGTGGCTATGGTCATTGTCGCTCGTCTTGGTCTTGTAGGGGCGGCTCTCGCGGGTCAGCCGTTCCGGCGAGCCCCCACCGCCGCCGCCGCCGCCGCCACCGCCGCCGCCGCCGCCGTCGTTCAGGTTCACGTCGGCAGGTGGCTTGGCTTTCTGCAAACGCCAGGCGCGAGTGAGGCCGCCTGCCGGCTACCCGCTGGCGGCGTCAATATCCCGGATCGGCGGCCGGCCGCCGACAAAGCTTGTTCAGCTCCACTGAGACGAGCCGGCTATTGGCGTCAGCGCGGGCTTCCGAGCCACTCACTGCTGAGGCGCCAGCCAGCTTCATTTTGTCGCCGAGCCATTGATGGTATCAGAGAAGACCTCGTTTAACCTCATCCGGGAGAGCGTCGAAAATAGAGATGGTTTGTGGGAGCCGTTCTGAGGACCGCCGCATTCAATACATGCATGCGCCTTTGAGCATATACTTCGGATGAATTAAGTTACATTCGAAGATGTAACTGTTCCGTTGGGAATTGAAATCGTTCACTTCGCGCGGTGTTCGGTCGGAAAAACTAGCAATTGCGCATGTATGTGGCCAGAACTGACAGCACTGTCATACAATTGTCTTTGTTCAAGCAAAAAGTTAATAAGCTTCACAGTAAGTCGACTGAGTAGCGGTTGTGCAGAGGTCCAATGAACAGCTGCCATCATACCTGAAGGTTGGCCTCCTCACCAGAAGTGCGTCAGCGGCAGTCTCTCCCCATCCCACACCAGCTCTCCAAAGGTCGGAGACCATCACCGAATCCCATCACAAAAAACAGCCACACGTCACAGACCACCACCAAGGGCAGGGGATCAGGCGAGCCGAAGCCTAGCCGTCCGTGCGGATCGCATCGCAGACGTTAGTGGGCTGTGAGCGGTCAGTGGGGGAGCCAGCGGAGGCCGAGTACCTTGTCGGAGGACGGGCCAGCGCCGTCGTTAACCTCATAAAAGCCGGAGTGCGGCCGGCGGCGGCCCAACCGCGGACAGCACGAGCAGCCCTGCGGCAGGCGCGCGCGGCCCGTCATGTCGGCCGGCCTCGTGGGTAGGGGTGTGTGTGGGGAGGCGACTCTGGGTGAAACGAAACATGGCCTTTCCATCCAAGTCTCACTGGCAGGCATCAGTCAGCGAAAGCTGGCGTCTCCCAACGTGCTAAGCTTCCTCGGCGTCTTCGCGCAAGCAAAGCACCCACTAATGATTGTCGGCACGACCGGCCCAAGAGCTCAAGCTCAAGCCTGCTCCAGGAAAGCTGACTGACATCAAAGATGGGACAAATGTCAGCAGAAATAAACTACGGCTCAACGGGAACCTAACGGCCGATTCAGCGCTTTCCATAAAACTTCTTTTTCTCAAAACACGACAATGGAAAAGGAAAAAAAATAAAAGGCTGCATCATCAGAATGCTCATTTATCACTCACAACGCTCTCGAAATAATAGAAAAAGCCAAAAGCACTAGCTACCACCCACATCAGCGGTATACGTGCACACAAAGCGATCTACGCCGAAGACATCCAAGACAAGTGCAGGGTCGCACGAACGAGTGACTATTGTCAAGAGCCACTCGCTTACCTTTCCACAACATCCCGAGGTGTCCTTCTTCTTGCCGACCTTGGTGCTACTCTCGTGTAGCAGATAGATGAAGACGTACAGCAGGAACAGGATGCTGACGCCGTAGAGGTAAGTAAAGAACGCCTGCAGCGGACAACAAAGAGCTACATCGTCACGCACGAGTGCGGTCATAAGACATTGGCTAACAGAGTGACTCCACGATTGCTTAGATGAGCGCACATGATTCCAAAGATCCAATATTTCACGTCATGATACAGGCACTTTCTGAATAGCAATCGGCTAAATCACACGTTAGTCGCTTGCAAACGTAATGCGTGATCCCAGCTCGCTGCAGCATATCACTAGTCGCCCCGACTTGCGATCAAACACATATCGATTCGACCCAGCGGACGGCACATTTGGATGCATCGACGGACGGAGCAGAGCGTGCGCACTTCGCAACTGTCGCGCGAGGTCGCTGCTCGCCGAGCCCTGTGTCATCACCGCTGCACGTGGTGCCGCTGTACTCCCCGTCACCCGTTTTAAGTCCCGCCGCTTCCGGCCAGCACTGCACCCACGACAAAGAGGCGCTCTCCGCCGCCGCCGCCGCCGGAACCACCAGGGGGTGCCGCGGCGCGCCGGATGTGCAAAGGCGGTCTGTATCGTGCACGGTACCGGGAGGGGGAGCTGGCGAGCTGTTGAGCTGATGGTGGAGCAGACCCTGTCCGCCAGGTGGCAGGTGTCTACCAAGCGCGAGAGACCGATCCGCGTAACGCAAGGCGTGCGAAAAATGGCCAACCGCTGCACACGCTGACCCGCTAACACTGCGACAGGTACTGATCTGAAACATGGAGCTGGCAGGGTCGCCACCAGTTGTCGCCACCAACGGCGTCACCTGTTGCTCCCCTCCCTAGGGTCGATGCAGGGTGACGTGACCTGCCACACCTCCCAGAGCCAGGCCAACAGTCGGTCAGTCGGCCATTGGCGCCACGAGCGCCATAAACGCTCCCGCGAACCTACGGAAGCGCCCAGCACGCGGCCCCAGCGCGGCGGCGCGGCGGTAGGGACGCCGGGCGGGGCGGAGGTCGGGACACCCGGGTGGCGCTGGTGCGGAGCCCCGGGTCGGGACCCGCGTCGCCGCAGACGGCTGGCGGGAGTGCGGCGCTCGGTGCAGCCGGCTGGCGGGAGTGTGCGGCGCTCGGTGCGGTCAACCGGCGGGAATGTGCGGCGCTCGGTGTGGCCAGCCGGCGGGAGTGTGCGGCGCTCGGTGCGGTCAACCGGCGGGAGTTTGCGGCGCTCGGTGTGGCCGGCCGGCGGGAGTGTGCGACGCTCGGTGTGGTCAGCCGGCGGGAGTGTGCGACGCTCGGTGTGGCCAGCCGGCGGGAGTGTGCGACGCTCGGTGCGGCCGGCTGGCGGGAGTGTGCGACGCTCGGTGCGGCCGGCCGGTGGGAGTGTGCGACGCTCGGTGCGGTCCGCCGGCGGGAGTGCGCGGCGCTCGGTACTGGCCAGCCGGCGGGAGTGCGCGGCGCTCGGTGCGGCCGGCCGGTGGGAGTGTGCGACGCTCGGAGCGGTCAGCCGGTGGGAGTGCGCGGCGCTCGGTGCTGGTCAGCCGGCGGGAGTGCGCGGCGCTCGGTGCGGCCAGCCGGCGGATCTGAACGCGATACGGACCAGCCAGCGCCGGAATATCGTACACTTCCGCCGCCGGCAGAGCGCTCGCGCTCGCTTGCATTCGGAAACGATCTGCAACGATCTGCCCCGGCCGACAGGCGCTACCTTTTGTGGCCAGGACGATTTAGGTGCACCGCTCGTCGCTAAACCGTTAGGCGTTTGCAGGGAAGACTTGCTGTCGGAGCGTGGCACGCCTGGCCAGGGCACGCCCTAGGCGACGGCGCACCGGCGTCGAATAACCCGAACGATTTGCTGGCCGCCGTTGGCTGCTCACTTCCGGACAAGTTGCGATGAAGGGGCCGCAGCGGAACGTAAACGCGAGTAAACTATGCCTGCTTCGTTGTGCTTGTGAAAGCGTCCGGTGTTGATCGTGCCTGCTTTAAATATCACCGCGCAAATGAAATTAGCACTCGTATGCATCACGTTGAGCCCATATCTATTTTGAGAGCACAACAGTCCGTGTCCACATACCTCGTAGAAGTAGAGAGGCACACTGTCTGTGATGATCTCGGAGATGAGAAAGGCGATGCATACCACTACCAGAAGCTTTGCGTACACTAACGACAAAATCCGAAAGCACGCTGTCCTGAAAACACAGAGAAACGCCCGGTTAAATTGTACCCATAGAATGCGGTCTGACCGCAGTGATAATGACGTAAGCATTTGTTAGAGCACACTGGAAGAGCACTATCACCCTTAATTATGGCTAACCAAGTCGAAGGAATATAGCTATATGTCGGAGCATGGTACAGGTATAGCCAAAATAAAAACGCAAAATAATACTTGTGATGCTAAACCAATACACTTTCACTTAAGCTGTGAAATGCAAGCGAGCTAGCAGGAAAGCTGCCCCGCTCGTCCCATGGCAATGTGCGTCCAAGCTCGTGGCTACTTGCTTTCAGCTCAACTTAGTTGCGCCTTTTCGAAACGGGTAAACTCATCGAGCTCCCTGCAAATCAACACCGGCCGATCTAATGAGCCCCTCTCCCCGCCCCTCGCCTCCCTCCTCATCCCACGGTGCTGGCAATAAATGCCCCTTTCTATGCGTGAAAAGTGCTGGTCGGCATGACATTCAGAATTTCCTCTTTTCGTTGTTTTATGTTGCAACCGCCGTTCCAAATTGATATTCAACAGTTACGGCATTCTTGACGACACGTGGGACGCTGCGTTTATGTTCACAGCCACAAAGGAAATGTTCGCCGCTAGCCATCATTCAATCCAGAGACATTATTTCCCACACAAATCGTCCCCTAAAACGGATGCATAACTCGTAAGACTGCAGCGCTCTGCAAAGTAGCATCAGCGCAGAATGTCGTTGAAACCGGCGCGCCGAATCCGGACATTTCCGCGTTCCATCGCGTGACACCGAGGCTTGCGCATTCCATCGGTCCGCATCTGCGTGTGAGCCGCACGCTCCGGGGCCGGCCTGCTGGTGACAGGCCGGCGCGGTCAACAGGTGGCCAGTGGACGTGACTGAGCGCGTGAGCGCTGGGCCGGCCGGCCGTTGCCAGTCTGCAGACGCGGACCGGACGTCTCTCGTCGCATCGATCGGGGGCACCGGCGGTCGACGACCCGCCGTGTTGCAGAGCGCGGCGCGCAGGTATGCGCCGCCGCCGCCGCTGTCTGGCGGGCGGCGTCGGCCCAGGACAGCGGCCCAGCGCCCGGGCGGCGGAGCCCGAGCGGCGGGGCCACAGCGGCGGCGCCATCAGTAACGCATGCGGTGCTCCGGTCTCACCCGGCCGACCGCGACGTTCGGCGCTCGCCCACGCTCCGGCGTCGACGCTGGTCTTGCCTCGGCGCCGACTGCGCGCACCGGCGACCGACGGCGATCACCCTGGCGCTGTCAATTTGGCCTGGCCGATATCCGCAGCGGCCTCGTAAAGCTGCAGAGGCGGCCTGGCCAGCCGCGGACAGCGACGGTCTAACGTTTGCATTTAATTATTCACGGAAGTGGGCCCGGTCGGCTGCGATCGATACTACGTCCGTACGACCCGACTCCTGCTAGCCGTCCGCGCGGTGGCAATTATCCACACGAAGGTTAACGGATGTCTGACGGGGCGCGACCGACCCCGCCGAAGGCACCACGACTTCTGCGGCAGCCGGGTGCACGGCACCTGTGGCCGCCGGCCGCACAGCATCTGGAGCCGCTGGATATAAGGCATGTGTGGCCAACGGCAGGGCGCCTGTCGCAGCCGACAGCACGGCATCTGCGACAGACAGCCGTCACAACGATGCGAGCTGTTGGCCTGCTCCCATCAAGAGGCGCCTAGAAGGCCAGAGGTATTCACCGCGAAGCTGTTGATTGGAAGTCACTGAACGATGGGGCTTCAAAAGCCACATTGAATCCAGCTAGCAATTAACCTGAGCTTGTATTCATCGGATGGAAGATATCGTCTTTGTTAAGTGATGCATTCGTGGGCGCAGGCCTGTCCCAAATGCCATTGAATGGCCGCCTTTGTCTAAGTCCAACTGAACCTGTCACTAGCATTCTGAAGAGCCGTGCCAACACAAGACCGAAAGCGAATCGATCGCGGGAAGCAACACGCCAGGAGTCGCTTCTACGGTACAGGCGATACCATTCAAACTTGCTGCAAGCACCATTCCACCGTCACAAAGTACCCGCTGGGGACATCCTGCCACGGACGGGGAACGGGGCAGCCACGGAGCGCGGTTCAAAGCGTCCTGCTCAGCTCGCGCGCACGCCCCCGAAGGGCCGCAGCTGCCAGGAGTCGATCAGGGTGGTGCGACAAGCTCTCGTAGCATATCCGCGCGCCGGCATCAGCCCAGTACCACCGCATGTGTTTTCGCCACCGGCAGGCTGCGTCCCGCGCCGCCGGCCCAGCCCAGCCCAGGCAGTGCTCGAGCAGGCCGACCAGGTCGCACGAGTAGTTCTCCAGCGCCACCTGTCGGGCCGCGTCGAAAGGCGGCGCGTGGCGCACTCCGTGCGGTCTCAGCCGACCTTGGTTCTCGGCATCCAGGCGCTGCATGCGGCCGAGCCAGCCGGGCACACTCTCGGCGATGGCTCTCACCAGCAGCGGCGTGTTAAGCATCAGCTGCGCGAGCCCGCGCGGACTGCGCGCGTCGTCGGGCAGTCCGGCCGGCCGCTCGGCTGGCGGCCGCGCGCGCTGCTCGTCCACCCAGGCGACCACGGCCGGCGTGTCCTGCAGAACGAGCTGACCGTCGCCGGCAGAGAGCAGCGCCAGCAGCGGCACCGGGTCCCAGAAGAAGGTGCCGTCGCCGCGCGGCTCCAGGGCCGCCCACTGCACGGCGTCGTCCGGCGCCACGAGCATCGCGCGAAACAGGTGCACCGGCGGGTGCATGGCCGCCATCACGTGCCGGTGCATCAGCAGCAGCTCGGCGGCGCCCGAGGCGCGCAGCAGCCGCGGGATCCGCTCGTGCAGCAGGAGACGCACGAACGACATCACGTGGCAGTTGATGGCGCCGCTCACACCCTCCGCGATGAGCGCGCGCGCCAGGCTGATGCGGAGCTGGCGCTCCGTGGGCGGGACGCCAGGGCACTGGAGCACGTGGCGCAGCAGGCGCATGTGTAACTCGGTGCACGCGCGCATGAGGAGTCGCGTCATGTTCTGCCGCATCATATCAATCGTCGCCCTCATCGCGTCCAGCTCGTCCGGCGTCAAGAGCCGCAGCAGGTTGATCTCGGTCCAGAAGAAGCTGGGCAGGCGGCGAGTTGTGACCGCAGCGCCCAGGTGGTCCAGGACGCGGCGTGCGCATCGCGTGACGCTGCGCCACTGGACGGTTGGCGTCTCCTGCACCAGCCACAGCAGCGACGTCTTCAGAAAGTAGGACTTCACCGCCTTCCCCCGTGAACCCAGGCCGGTCTTGCACCCCTTGAGGGCGAGCAGGGTGCATCGTTGCACCTCAGTCAAGTGCCATGCGGCCACCACCTCAGCCCGCGAGAACGACAGCCGCCACTCCTCGAGCTGTGTGGCGCTGCCCTTGCAGCCGGTTGGCACCAGATGCACGCCGAATTGGCAGATGTCGTCGCGCGCCGCCGCCGGCGGCCAGTCACGCGCCTTGGCCCGCGCCACGAACTCGTCCGAGGGCCACCAGGGCGCGCGCAGGCAGGGGACCATGTCGTTGTCGTCCTTGGTGGGCGGGTACTGGTGCAGTGGTCCGGCCACGGCGGCGGAAGGCCCGGTGGCCGCCATCTCCGCGCCCGGGCCCAGCCGCACGCGCATCAGGTCGCACATGAAGCGGCGCACGCTCTCGGCTGAGAACACGCGCGGCTCCGCGTGCGCGCAGTCGGGCCGGCGCACCTGCAGCAGCCGCACGAAGCCGGCGTTCTCGGTGGGCGCGACGCGGAGTCGCGCCGCCCCCACGGGACCGTCGCCGTTCGTCTCCCAGTGCACGGGCCCCAGCTCACACATGGTGTCGTGATCCGACTCCAGTCGCACCACCATCTCCACGTCGCCGAAGCCCTCCACCTGACTGCCGGACATGCAGGCGCCGCGGATGGAGAGGTGGCCGAGCGGCGAGCACACGCACTCAGCCAGCTCCTCCTGCAGCGTCCACTGCAGCGGCACGTCCTCCAGCGCCTGACACGTTTGGCTGTGCTCCGAGGTCAGCGCCTCGGCCAGCTTTACCGCCGGGTGAAATCGGTGTGTGCTGGTCAGCACGCAGTCGAGGACCAGGTCAGCGTGCGCACCACACTTGAGCAGCAGCCGTTCGGCTATCTGGTCCAGCTGCGGCCCGCGTGGGCCCAGGTCCGGCAGCTCCATCGCTGCCCTGCGCCGCGCCGCCACTGCACGGCGGCCGCCGGACGCCAAATCACCGGCGCCAGGCACGGTCCCAGCGCCGGTGGGCAGGGTGGGCGCCTGACGCCTGGCCAAGGCCGCGATCAGTAGACGGCTGCGCACGCCTACCTCCAACTGTCTGGGCCGTCCGTCGAATCCCGACTCCCCTGCCCCCCCCCCCCTTTCCTTTCGTGAACCGCGCCTGCGCATCTTTCCGGTCGGTTATTGCAAAACGGCGGCTTCCAGCAGAGCTGCGGAAACTGCTTACTCGAAACCGGTCAGGTCCGGCCGGGCTTCTCGCAGGCCCGACCGGTTAGAGCGGACTGCAAAGCGCGCGACATCTAGGTAGTGAATTCCGGCTGGCTGGTGGCCATGAGTATGACGCAATCGCCTGCAAACGCGTGAGGTTCAGAGAAGGCTGCGTTGAGAACTGCATCCACGGACCTCAGCTTTGCACGGCATGGAGGGGTGTGTGCACCGAATAACTGCAGGGGTTTTAAAGACTACTTGACGAGAAAAAGAAGCGAGATAGAGTTCGATTTGGAGCTCCGAGACCCCCAAATCAATATGGGCCAGGGGGCGTCAGTTGACCCACGACATCCCCTACGTCGCCGAGAAGTCGAGCGGTTCCGAGATAGTCAAGGAATGTTTCTGAGATAGGACGGTGCCATGAAAAAAGGTCACAGGGTTCACAGGGTTTATGTATTTCAATTCCCATCCTTTCGACTCTCTCGAGGACGGCAACGCCGGCTATGTCTAGGTGTCGCACCCCCGCTGGTGCGACAATTAGTTGTGGATGTGGAAGGTGCATTGCATTAATTTAATAGAT